CTGTTTGCAAGCTTGTTCGTGTTTCTTGGCAGAGCATTTGCCTATGTTTTTGGGCTGTTCTCCTTTTGTTATGCCTGGGTAGGAGAGAAACTCCATGACCTATTTTGCTGGTATTTCTGATTTCATTGTTCTTTGCCTGCTTCTGCGTTTGTGTTGACATTTGTTCCAGCATTTGCCTCTCTTTTTGAGGTGTTCCTCTTTTCTCCTATGCCTGGGCAGGACATATGCCTGGGCAGGAGGTAAACCTCCGTCCGCTACTTTGGTTTTTATGTCCGTTTTCATTGTTCTTTGCGTCCTTTGTCGTTTCTCTGGGTTTTGATCAAGCATTTGCCCGTGTTTTTGAGGTGTTCTTCTTTTGTCCTATGCCTGGGTGGGAGATAGAACTCCGTCACCTACATTGCTTTTATTTCCGTTTGCATTGCTGTTTGCATGCTTGTTCGTGTTTTTTGGCATAGCATTTGCCTATGTTTTTGGGCTGTTCTGCTTTTAATTTGTTCTGCCTGAGTAGGAGAGAAACTCCGTGACCTATTTTGCTTGTATTTCTTTCTGATTTCATTGCTCTTTGCCTCCTTCTGCGTTTGTGTTGCTTTTGATCCAGCATTTGCCTCTCTTTTTGAGGCGTGTGCCTCTTTTCTCCTATGCCTGGGCAGGAGGTAAAACTCCGTCCGCTACCTTGGTTTTATTTCCGTTTTCATTCTTTGCGTCCTTTGTCGTTTCTCTGGGTTTTGATCAAGCGTTTGCCTGTGTTTTTGAGGTGTTCTTCTTTTGTCCTATGCCTGGGCGGGAGATAGAACTCCGTCACCTACATTGCTTTTATTTCCGTTTGCATTGCTGTTTGCATGCTTGTTCGTGATTTTTGGCATAGCATTTGCCTGTGTTTTTGAGCTGTTCTCCTTGTCATTTGTTCTGCCTGAGTAGGAGAGAAACTCCGTGACCTATTTTGCTTGTATTTCTGATTTCATTGCTCTTTGCCTCCTTCTGCGTTTGTGTTGCTTTTGATCCAGCATTTGCCTCTCTTTTTGAGGTGTTCCTCTTTTCTCCTATGCCTGGGCAGGAGGTAAAACTCCGTCCGCTACCTTGGTTTTATTTCCGTTTTCATTGTTCTTTGCGTCCTTTGATCAAGCGTTTGCCTGTGTTTTTGAGGTGTTCTTCTTTTGTCCTATGCCTGGGCGGGAGATAGAACTCCGTCACCTACATTGCTTTTATTTCCGTTTGCATTGCTGTTTGCATGCTTGTTCGTGATTTTTGGCATAGCATTTGCCTGTGTTTTTGAGCTGTTCTCCTTGTCATTTGTTCTGCCTGAGTAGGAGAGAAACTCCGTGACCTATTTTGCTTGTATTTCTGATTTCATTGCTCTTTGCCTCCTTCTGCGTTTGTGTTGCTTTTGATCCAGCATTTGCCTCTCTTTTTGAGGCGTTCCTCTTTTCTCCTATGCCTGGGCAGGAGGTAAAACTCCGTCCGCTACCTTGGATTTATTTCCGTTTTCATTCTTTGCGTCCTTTGTCGTTTCTCTGGGTTTTGATCAAGCATTTGCCTGTGTTTTTGAGGTGTTCTTCTTTTGTCCTATGCCTGGGTGGGAGAAAGAACTCCGTCACCTACGTTGCTTTTATTTCCGTTTGCATTGCTGTTTGCATGCTTGTTCGTGTTTTTTGGCATAGCATTTGCCTATGTTTTTGAGCTGTTCTCCTTTTAATTTGTTCTGCCTGAGTAGGAGAGAAACTCCGTGACCTATTTTGCTTGTATTTCTGATTTCATTGTTCTTTGCGTGCTTCTTCGTTTCTGTTGTCTTTGCCCCATCGTTTGCCTATGTTTTTGAGGTGTTCGTCATGTCGGGCGTGTGACCCCAACCAACCCGCTTCGTGAACCTCGCGCGCCGTTTGAAGCCTCGCTTCCAAACGCTCTTCTGACCGACCCCTGGCTCGCAATCCAAACTTTGCCGTTGTGCTGCTCGCAAGGCTAAATGCCCTGGATTAGCCGAAGGATTTGAGCCATGGGGGCCCTTCTAAGGGAGCATAGGGCACCGGGATTCGGTGGAATTTGGAATCTGCCCACTTTGACGCTTAGAACAAAGCAAAAAGGCCCGACTCAACAGGACGTATAGAACAACGCAAAACGCAAGTTTTAAAACTTCCTCCTCCGCCGGTCTTTGGGTCGGTCGCCCGCTTCTCCCACCCTCCGCCGGTCCTTGGGTCGGTCGCCCTGTTTTTGCAGGATCCGCGTTGGTTCTCGGGGTGCCGGTTGCCCCGGGGGGTCCTTGGGTCCCCCTCCCGTGGGCCTTTATGCAAGCACATGGGGACAGATTCTAAATTCATCTAGGTTTTTCTAGTTGGGGGGGCTGCCCTGCTTGGTCCCTTCCTGGGACCCTGCAGGGGCCCCACAAAACTGATACGGAGTTACAGGTAAACTTAACAAATTTGTATTTTTCTTTCCTCGCTCACTTGCCCGCAGCCGCCTCAAGGGTCAGGAATCCTATCAGAGTGCCCAGCCTAGGTATGCACAGTAGGACACTCTGAGGCTGTACAGTCTGTACATGAACGAAGCCATGCCGCCAAACACCCACACCACCCGAACCCCACATCACCCCAACCACCCACATGACCCGAACCACCAAGACCGCCCCAAGCCACCCGCCCCCTGAGCCACCCACGCTGACGAGCCGCCATCCGCACCGCCCGCCACCAGTGTGAAGGCCCCCCCCTCTCCCAAAAGGCTGCGAACTAGCCCTAAACCCTAAACCCTCATAGCGTCATCCCTGCAAAGGGCGCCCAAATCCTCCAACTACCCCAAGCTGCCCAAGCCGAAGCCACCCAAGAAACTCCCTAAGCCCTGAGGCACCCTAAAATGGCGGGGGGTGGGGTCGGCGGCACTGGCGGTAGCCATTAAATCGGGCAGCGCGAGGTCCCCAAAGGACCGAGCAAATGCGGACCTTTTAGCCCGGGTCGTCCCGGGAATAGCCTTGCTGGCCTCTGGCCTTCTGCGAAGCAGAATTAGGCCGGACGCCAGTGCCGCCGACCCCCGCGTGCCGCCGGTGAACGGTTTTTTTTTCGTGGTTTTTTGCGTCGCCACGGAGGCCCCCAGAGGGCGCGCATCATGAGCATCAGCGGGTCCAGCCCGGGACCCCCAGGCGCGCATCAGGAGCATCAGCGGCTCCCGGGGTGGGACCCCGGGGGCGCATCAGGAGCATGATGCCCCCCAAAGGGCGGGCATAAGCGACGTGTCTAAGCCCGGGGCTAGGAAAAGGGGAGTTTAGGGGCCTTATAAAGTGCTTAGAAACATTAAGGGAGTCTAGGAGCCTCAAACGCTTAGAGATTTGAAGGGAGTTTAGGGGCCTGAAAATGCTTAGAAACTTAACGCTTAGAGATTTTAAGGGAGTTTAGGGGCCTCAACATGCTTAGAAACTGCTCGCCCCGGGCTTCTGCGTGCGCTGCCCGCCCATGGGCGCAGCCCCTTAAAATAAATCCCAAGCACCACAAACTTTCCCCGGAGATCCGAAACTGTTTTGGCCCCAGGATGGTCATACTTAGTAGCCGTCTCGTACTCGACCCTAGAGGCAGCACAAATTCAGACATCTTGCCTCTCTTCTGGGTGTAACTCCCAAACCCTAAGCCCTAAACCCTAAACCCTAAACCCCAAACCCCAAACCCCAAACCCTAAACCCTAAACCCCACACCCACACCATCCCTGGGGGCCTCATCCTCGGCACCAAAGCAGATGCAGCAGGGCTCCCCCTCGCCAAAGGCAGCCTCCACCGGCACTATCCTGCGAAGAGCGGAGGGTGGGTGGAGGATTCTTGCCGAGAATCGTGTTTAAGGGTTTAGGGTTTAGGGTTTGGGGTTTGGGGTTTAGGGTTTAGGGTTTAGGGAGACTCCCGGCGCGTTGAAGTCAGCAAGTGGCCGTGGCCGTGTCCCTGCACTCCTTATGTTTGAAAACAGCTGTGCGCTGTCAAAAGGGTCACGGTTGGGAAGCACACAAGCGCACCCTTAGCATTGCAGGCTGGGCTTTCCACGCTAGAATTTGGGGCTGCTTGCTTCTTCTTGCTCCTATCAAATCGGAAGCCTGTCATGTGAGATGGCTAGATCCTTGTCGAGCTCTCATTCACAGAGCCACACATGGTTAAGGTGCCTAAGCAACCGGAGATCCGCGAGCCCAAGCCCAGCAGCCCAACTGGTCCTAAACCCTAAACCCTAAACCCAAAACCCGAAACCCTAAACCCTAACCCTAAACCCGAAACCCTAAACCCTAAACCCTAAACCCGAAAGCCTAAACCCGAAACCCCCTGCCCAACCCACGGCCTGCGGCCCACGCTGCTGAGCCGCCAAAGCCTCCTGCGGCGCCGAAGGCAGCGCGCCAGGCTCGCCATGCAGAAGGCCAGGCCCATCAGAATGGGCTGGGCCTCGCCGGTTTTCCAAGATTCTCGAGCTCAGGAGCTTGAGGCGCAAACTTCACTCAAAAGCTCTTCGAGGCCGCCAAACCTGAACCCTATTCTTGACCCCGAAAAACTGTGAGCCATCACTCCTGAGACTGAGGAGCTGTTCAAACTTTATTTCTCGCGGGGCAGCTCGACTAAGTTGGCACACCTGTGCGCCAATTCTCCTACAGGTCAACAGCTGCCAAATGCCTCAATGGGGTTTAGGGCTCGGGCTGGGACCAACGCAGGGACGAATCCAACCAACTTGGGAGGGTGATGTTTTACGGCGATGTTTTTACAGGCTCGCTGCCCAGAGTGGTTTCTGCACTTGCTTCGTTTTGTCGGGCACCCTCATCGGCAACGTCCCATACACACAACCAGAAGAGCTCAATGCCCCAACCCCAGCTGGGGCTGAAGGATCCGGAGCGTTCGTCGGTCCTGAATGACTGCCTTTTCCCCGCGAACTGAGCAAGGGACCGCAGTGTACATGATGGTGGTCGGCAGAAGCAGCAGCGGCCACCTTGGCACACTTCGCTACAAAAACGGCTTTGGTCTCTAGATTCCGAGGTGCCCCTGAGACCATGAGCGCTTTTTAAGTGCTCTGCGGCAACAAGAGCCAGCCGAAGAAGAACAAGGCGACCATCCCAGGCAGACCGCCTCTGAGAGGGGCAGAGTTCGTGTTGGGAATGCCTCGGAAGCAATGTGACAAGACATGTCACCAGGGTTTAGGGTTTAGGGTTTGTTTAGGGTTTAGGGTTTGGGGTTTAGGGTTTAGGGTTTAGGGACGTAGTCGAATTCCAGAAGCCTCCCTCCAGGCTGCTCGGAGATACCTCGGAGGGCCGTCTTTCAACGACTTAAAAACTCATTTGACTCGACTTTGTGCCCTTCAGGATCCCTGAGGCGGAGGCAGGGCAGGAAAGATGCAGGGCCCGCAGCAGTCTTCCGTCAAGCTCTGGAAGATCCGTGCGGATGATGCGCACCCAGGTAAAGCGGCAATCCTGCGCTGCTAGCTGGCCATGATAGCCATTAGGGTTTAGGGTGTAGGGTTTAGGGTTTAGGGTTTAGGGTTTAGGGTTTAGGGTTTAGGGTTTAGGGTTTAGAGTGTATAGGGTTTAGGGTTTAGGGTTGAGGGTTTAGGGTTTAGGGTTTAGGGTTTAGGGTTTAGGGTTTAGGGTTTAGGGTTTAGGGCTGCCGCAGATTTTAACAATGCGATTGCGGTGGCCATCCTGCGGCAGCGATCACGCAAGGTTGCGCAAGAGCCCACGCCTTCACGATCGTGCTCTTGGGAAGAACTAGCTCGGTCTCGATTGCCTTGAGTTCGCTAGAAAGACTACCCCGGTGCTTTAACCTCTGTAGATTGAGCCGCAAACCCTAAACCCTATACCCTAAACCCTAAACCTTAAGGCCTAAACCCTAAACCCTAAAGGTTTGGGACCCTCGCCTGAACGTTTCGGCCGTGGTAGCTGAAGGCTTTCTCGTTCTTGACCTCAGTGGAAGGATGCGGAGCCGGTGATGACGCCACGAGCTTCAAGACAGGCACCTCCAAATGCAGGCACTCCACCCGAGAGTCGTTGAGACCTTGCCACAACGAAATGAACTCACGGCAGATGGCCAGCATCAAAGCAGCTGCAACAAAACACCCGCCCCGGCCAGGAAGCTAACACCTTCCCACCGACAACCCTCGGAAGCTGTCAAGGCAGAACTGACCGTAAAACTAAACCCTAAACCCTAAACCCTTTAAGCGCACGTCGCCGCACCTCCACGATTCATCGACTCGCAGGGGGTGGCCCTGATAACGAAGTCTTCGGTATTGTTCCACCAGGCCGCCACCTCCCCAAAACTCCACAACATGGATGTAGCAGGTTTAGGGTTTGGGGTTTAGGGTTGAGGGTTGAGGGTTGAGGGTTTAGGGTTTAGGGTTTAGGGTTTAGGGTTTAGGTTTTAGGGTTTAGGGTTTAGGGTTTAGGGTGCCGCCACCTCCCCAAAGCTCCGAAAAGATGGATGTAGCATTTCCAGCCGCAAAACTACATGCCCAGAACTTCCGCAGGCCCCCAAACCCCAAACCCAATAAGGGGCACAAACCCCAAAAGCCCCCTAGGCTACTCAAAAGCCCCTAAACCCCAAACCCAATAAAGGGCACAAACCCCAGAAGCCCCGGGTTTAGGGTTTAGGGTTTAGGGTTTAGCGTTTAGGGTTTAGGGTTTAGGGTTTAGGGTTTAGGGTTTAGGGTTTAGTAGGGTTTAGGGTTTAGGGTTTAGGGTTTAGGGTTTAGGGTTTAGGGTTTAGGGTTTAGGGTTTAGGGTTTAGGGTTTAGGGTTTAGGGCTTAGGGCTTAGCCACTCCACCCTCGCCTCCGGGGACAAGGGAACCAGGAGCCGCAGCACTTGCCAGGGGCGGTTCTCCTCCAAAACACCCCCTCCCCCCAAAAAAAGCACACAAAACAAAATGGTTTAGGGATTAAGGTTTAGGGTTTAGGGTTTAGGGTTTAGGGTTTAGGGTTTAGGGTTTAGGGTTTAGGGTTTAGGATGAACATCCCCGCTCTGATGTTGGAAGGAGGTATTGCGAATGACAACGACACCGGGATGTAGCGCGCTTAAGCTGCTGCCGCAGCTTCGCCAGTGTTTGCAGCTAGTGGTTGCTAGTGGGTACTGGTGAGACAGTGAAACACCAGCACTGCAGCAGGCAATGTTCTGATGCACACGACGCAAGAGGAAGCGCGGGATATTGCAGGGTGGCACTGGTAGAGGCCCTGGTCAACATCCAAGGGCCATTTAAGCCCACACAGCCTTTTGATCTTGGCCACTGTGGAAGCCCCAGATCAACAAATGAAAGAGCCCTGTGCACCCCTGACTTTGCCACCCCAAGCACAAATGGCAGTTTCGGATGTAAGGATGAGAGTATCGGGGTTCGGCATTGAGCACAAAAGCCTTTCAAGTCCCCAAAGCCATACTCAAAACTGTAGACCTCTCAAGTCTCCAGCCCTTTTGGGATGCTTCAGCATTAGGAGCCCGATGCCGCCAGGGCCAGCCTCCTGCAGCTCCACGGTGTGGAAGGGCTCAGAAGAGACCTTCAGGATGATTTCTAGGATCCAAGCATGCCAAGCATTCAGGCTTGCGTTGGATTCTTTCTGGTGAATCGAGAGAGCGCCAAAAAGCGCGTCAAGGCCCCAAGCCCCACCCCCACCCCCCCCCCCCCCCCCGCAACATCCACCCCTGCGTGTGCTCCTCTCCTCCGCCCCTCCACCCCCCCCCTCTCCCCAACCAGAGAGCAGAGATGAAGCTTCCTGTTAAACATAGGATGGCACCTGACGACCTGTTCTGCTAAGTGTCCTTTGTTGAATGGTCTCCCTCACAAATGCAGGACGCAAGTGAACGGACCGTACTAACGTTGTAAGCGCAAAGCACGGCAAAAAGAGGAAGCAAACGATATTCAAGTGAATCCCAAGAGTCGCCCAAAAGTTCGGACCCAGAGCTGGACAGGCTGGGACGCTTTGCCCCAAAACCCGCAAGAAGGGCAAAAGGAGGTATGGCAGAGGTTCGGCTTCTTTGAGCTAGATCCCAGGGGCAGGCAGGTGAAAGAGGTTCGTTAGTTTATCCAACAAAAAACCGGAAGCGTATTCGTGACAGTAGCAGTAAAAGTAGAAGAAGTAGAGGCAGAAGTATAAGTAGAAGTAGAAGCAGAAGTAGAAGTAGAAATAGTAGAAGAAGTAGAAGTAGAAGTAGAAGTAGAAGTAGAAGTAGAAGTAGAAGTAGAAGTAGAAGTAGAAGTAGAAGTAGAAGTAGTAGTAGTAGTAGTAGTAGTAGTAGTAGTAGTCGTAGTCGTAGTCGTAGTGGTCGTCGTCGTCGTAGTAGTAGTAGTAGTAGTAGTAGTTGTTGTTGTTGTTGTTGTCGTAGGGAGTCGCAGTAGCAGTAGCAGTAGCAGTAGCAGTAGCAGTAGCAGTAGCAGTAGCAGTAGTAGTAGCAATAGCAGCACCAGCAGCAGTAGCACTAGTAGCAGTGGTAACAGGCCCTGCGCCCGTATCGCTGCAGGATTCGCACGGGGGGGGTGGCGGGGTGGGGAGCCTTGGAAAGGAAGGATGAAGAGGGGAGGGGAGGCTCGAATAATGGCAGTCGGGACTCCGGGGTCCGGCCTCTAAAGGCCGTTCTGCTTTGTCCAGCTTGTCCATGCGCTGGGGGGCCCGCTCTCCTTCATCCCCTGGCACGTGGCGTGGGACAGGCGGGGTTCTTCTCAAAACGACCTTCCCGGCACTCAGCCAGGCACCAGGGCGCAGAAGGAGGCTCGAATTTGTTTCGATCTCCTGCCCAAATCGGGGATCGTGGACTACACAGAATTTAAAAGCACAGGAGATATAAAACGCACCAGTCTGAGAGGCATATCATGGAAAACGCATCGAGCCCTTGCTGGCATAAGCACCACTGAAGGTGGCGCGAAAGGCATAAGACGGCACTGGGAGTCCCCCCTTATTTCGGCTTGGACTTCCTCCGGTTTCTATACGCCGCGCACTCAGTTCGACATGTGGCCTCATTGCCGGTACCTCCCGAGGCCGCCTTGGTTCGGCGAAGAGGGTGCTTTGGGTGCTTGGGGCACAGCTGCTGGGAGGCCCACGAGCAGTCGCAGGCGTTGAAAAAGCAAGGTGGCCTGAGAAGAGTCGGCCACAGGGCGCTTGTGGTTGCCAGTTAAATGCCTCCAGCACTCGCTTAAAATAGTCTCAGTGCAAGGCGGCTAAAGCCAGGAAGATGCCCTTGAAGACCGCTTGTCTTCGAAGCTCATGAGCAGGGCGTTGGCGTGGCATGGGCCACCTGGGCATCATTTTGCAGTGACCTCCCGAAACCCTAAACCCTAAACCCAGTAGCACAAGGACAGCGGCTGAGCGAGTTTGAGTTCGCCACAAAACAACACCGTCAAACCTGAGCAAGCTTCGCAGAAGCTTCGATTGCGTCTCGTCAGAACATGTACACGAAAAGCGTCACAGTTAAAAAGGTTTGGTGAGCTTCGTGACGGGCCTTCCATCCATCGCCTACAAGACGATCTCGCCATGCGAGCATGTGGAGGAAAATCAGAACCGTTAGCGCTGCTGTGTGGAAGGCTTGCTTGCGGTGATCTTCGACACTTTTGCCCATGGATGCTCTGCTTCCTTCTGCGCGTGCCATGGCTGTCTGCGCGCGCGCTGTCACTCCCCCTGTGGCCATGTTGCCCACCAGGTGTTGCTAGCTGGGCCAAGCTCGACAGGAAGCCAACACATGGGTCGACCCGTCGCACCACAATCTCCAGGACGAAATGGACACGAACCCTCAATGTCCGGCCTTCGTCAACCCTGTAGCAAAAGTCTTCCACCCCGCAGCTGCAGCAAGCCTTGTGCCCTCTGAGAGCCATTGCATTCCTCGCACTCGCATGAGTCCTTTTCACGCCGACATCGACCTGCATGTGCGTGCTCAAGCTCATGGCAAGGATCGCAGCTCAAGGCGTGAGATGCGCTGCTGCTGAATTCGATGCAGTTTCTCAGAAACGAATCATCGGTGAAGCGATGGCGCAAGCCCGGGCTAAAGATTACACTGCATTCTTCGCATGAACGCCCTACCCAGGTAGAGGGTAAGGGTTTGTCAACTGGGTGGTCTGATCTCTTCTTGACGTGTTTTGACATCTGCGGCTTGGGATGCTGGGGATATGGCGCGACTGTAGTCTTCTTTTCCATTCAGAGCATCCACCACAGAATGCGATCCCGTTTTTTCCGGCGAGCCAGTGAACCTCTCACCTCTACGCATCGGACTTTGGGATCGTGGGAATCGGCTATGGGCTCTACTATCAAAATATCAAGGCCGAGGCCAATCACTGCGCCGGCCAAAACCCGCGTTGCCTGATTTGCACGGGCAGGAGTCATCAGGCAACCGTTTATAGATGTCCCCCACATTCTCTGTAACCAGGTTCTCGCAACCAATCATGAACTCTTCCAGGTGTGGCCACGAAGCCACCGCCTTCTGGAAATGTCCCAAAGCAGATTCACCGATGCCTCCGCAAAAGGTAATGGAGCTGAGATTCTGACAACGCTGCAGACCTTCAACCAAGCCAGGAAACGTAGACTCTGAATGGTCAAATGTCTCCAAGAGGAAACCCTGAAGCCTGCAGGGTCGCTCTTCCTCTGCGAGCTGGCGCAGCCACTTGGAAAGGGCTTCTAGGCCTGGGCCTGTCTGCGTCATTGATCCGGTCTCCTGGGCTCGGAAAGCCCAGAATTGAAAGTGCAACTTTACCGCAGAAAGACGAAGACAAAAAACAACAACACTTTAAACTTTAAAACCAGCTTCTCGAAAGAGCAGTCTTGATACACTGAGAGATAGGAACTCCACCTGTCCCAGGTTCAATTTCGGCAGCTGAACTGACTCGTAGGGCTTCGCGTGAGCCTCCAACCTCATCTGTCGTAGCTTGCCGAGCAAGCCAAAGCGCACGAAGAGCTCGTCAGTTGCAGAAGCATTCGAGGAAAGATGGAGGCCGTCGATCTTGAGTGCAGTCAGGGACGGAGCAACCGCTTCTAAAAGATTGGAAACTGAGCTGAGCAAGGTTGTTGGGAGCTCCCGGACCTCCCATGGAGGAAGCGACAGGGACATATGGGTAATGAGCTTGGCAAAGCAAGGTGTGGCGACGGCTTCTGACAGGAAGTCGCCGGCTGCTGTCATCCCTCCTGCGAGGATTTGCCGGCCCTGGCTCTCCTGTCCAATGGGACCCACATCGCTCTGGCTGAAGGCCAGGGCAAAGTGCCTCCCTTCCGATGGAAGAGGGCACTCCCCGGGGCTGGACACGAAGGCACGCCATGTGTTCAGGCATGGTTCGCAAAGGTCATCGATTGCTGACTGCATCAATGTGTTGAGGTATTGGGGGAAGTCGTCCCACACCAGCTTCAGCACTTGGACGCCCTGACCTGAGAGGACCCACAAATCCTTGGCACGGCTTGGCGTCATGGCAGGAACGCAGTATCGCAGTGTCCAGTTCAAGACACGCAGATCTTTTTGTTCCACCACTGTGGAGAAGAGGATTTCTTCCACTTCTTCTTTGTTCTTATCCCATTCAGAGTCCTTTCGCAATGCGCCACAAGAAATGTTGACAAAATGTTCTCCTGCCACAGTCGGTCGATGGCTCAGGATTGTCAGGAGTTGCCGGACGCTCATTGGCCAGCCTTTCCAAGACATCCGATAAAATAACTGAGACAGCTCAACACCAGGACCCCTTTGAGGAGAGATGTCCGGAGGAGGTGCACCGGGCAGTGAGCAGCATACAAGATCATGGGTCCTCTTTTCTGGGCATTCTCGACAGGTCAAGATGCCCACTTCGCCCTCCTCTGCGAGACACAGGGCCAAGTGCCAGATTGCAGAAGCCTGAGACCAAACGAATCGCTCAGCAAGCGCTTCCACGATTTGATCATGGCGACCAGAATGCCTGGCCGACTTCACCTCTGGACTTGCGCTCAATTGCATGTAGCGTGCGGCTATGGTGTACGTCACGATCCGGCAGGTCATATCTGTGATGTTCATACTGCCAAATGCACTTGAAGACACCTTGCTGCATTTTTGGCGAACCAGCTGGCAGGCCGCGCCATTTGCAGCAGCCAGCAGCATCGGCTGCTCCCTCGGATCAGCCACAAGCCACTCAATAGCTGACTTGTCTTGGACTTGGATGTCATTCCCCATCTTCGTTGTGCTAAGGTCGTCAGGCCCAGCCAGGAAGTGGCACACACGGCCTGTAGGTCCTGCAGTTGTTTCCACCAGCACAGCCCAGGCACCGACACTGTCCACTCCGTCGAGCTGGAGTGTGACGCTGTGCTGCGTGCTGGACGCCTTAGATGCCCACGGCTCACTCCCCCGGGCCTGAATCTGAAAGGAAGCAGTGAAATCTGTAGGACCCCAAGGGTGTAGTTGGACTTTGACCACGCGAGCCCTCCATCCACTCTGCCGGCCACTCGTGCCACTGCACACACCGTATCGCTGCTTCAGGAGCAGACTTTGTTCACAACGCGCAAAGACCACCTCTCCGTTCTCTGCCATCTCGGCGCCGCTGCCATGCCAATCGGTCTCATAGCCAGGGTCAGGCAGGAGCACCGCCATGTAGAGGGTGAGGTTCCTAAGAGAATGCGGTGGGTATTCCCCCAAGGTTACCACTACCTCACTCTTTTCATTAACGCTGGCCGTGGCGTCAAAGTAGAGGATGCTGTCGTTGTAGGAGGTACCTGTGAGGTTGACCAGGACCTCCAACACCTCCGGCGCGCCGAGCTTGAGCGGAAGGGCTTCCGCATTGCTGTACAGCTGCTGGTCTCCCTCCGCCAAGGCCAGGGACATTGCCAACTCCACGCGATTGTCAAGCCAATCAGGCCGCAGCCCGCGGAACTCGAGGATGTGTTCAGAGTTGGAGCGGACCTCCTGGCAAGTGCTGTCTCCAGACAACCGGCAGACTCTCCCACTCATGCTCCGCTGCATCCATCGGCGCTCCCTCACCGGACTCACTTCGCCAGAGTGTATGGCAAGCAGGGCCTGTTCAGTGCTCTGCGCTTGGAAGCAGCCTCCGTGACCGGTCATGGTGGCCAGGCAGTGAGGGGCAGCTTGACATCGAGCATTGCAGCACGTCTCGTCCGTCTCGTTGCAGGCAACATCCGCGCAGAAAGCAGCAAAGACCCATCTTGAGCCACCGCCAAAACTGCAATGCTGTGGAATGCCATACTCGAAGTCAGTGAGAACGACGTCGATGGAAAGATGCTCCTCCTTCCGCAAGGACAGAGGCAGGGCAATGACAGAGCCTGCAAGCATCGTCCGTTGTCACATTCAAACTATCGAATCTGGTCAACATGAACACCCTACAGTAACTGCACCTGCGATCTCACCCCACGGCAGATGTCGCTCGAAGTTGGGGCCATGGATGGTTATCTGGCTCGGAACTGTCGTGAGAGGGGTGAAAGCCACGCTGTACTCCACAAGCTTGGCTTGAAGCCCTTGCTTTCGCACCTTGGCCCCCGTTCGAGCAGACTCAGGAACCAGTGGACTTTAAACTATCTTCAACTATCCGAAACTGTCCCAAGCTATCTTAAACTCTTGAACTTGTCGCTGTGGGAACCAAGAGCTGGCCTAGGAACCTTCGCCACATGCGGCAGCGGCTTGCCCAGCAAGTCCACACTCCCTTAGCTCAGCTCAATCTGCAAGGAGGCACAGCACGGCACAGCTACAGCCAGTGGCACGAGCTGACCAAAGGGAAATGCAGCAAGATTCGGAAAGCAGAGCTATTGCTGCCCAAAGTAGTGCCGTCGATAGCGAGAGAGGTCGTGTTCGAGTCTTCTGCGGCTGCCACCTCAACGACCAAATCAGCCACTACACCATATGCACATCTGCATAGCTGCAGTTCTCAAGCTGCAGGATACCATGTTCAGGGTTTAGGGTTTAGGGGCTAAGCTTCTTAGCACCGGCCCCTCACAACGTGGGATATCGCAGACTCTGCATCAAAGTTGCTACAAAGCTGTGCTTAAAGCTGCCATCCAGGCGGACTTCGTAGTGGTGCACCCAAGGCCGGAAGCGGATCCCATCCTGCCAGGCTTAAGACCCATAATAACTAAAACATTATGTAGAAATATAATTATAGAATCATACAAGAAAATAAGAATGTAAGGATAGAAGAATATAAGAAGACACAGATATAAGAACATAAAAATGTAAGAGTATAAGAATATAAGAATATAAGAATATCAGAATATAAAAAATATAAGAATATAAGAATATAAGAATATAAGAATATAAGAATATACGAATATAAAAATATAAGAATATAAATGAATTTAAGAATATCCGCCGACCCCCTTGGGCGAGGCGTCAGTGAAATCCCGAAGCTTCTCGCCAAGCTCATGAAAGGTTTTCAATGCGCTCTTGCTCTTCTCGCGAAGCTCATGAACCGCCCCCCCGATGCCTGAAGCTCATGAAAGGTTCCCTCTTGCTCTTCTCGCGAAGCTCATGAACCGTCCCCTCCCCCCCCCCCCCCCCCTTCCCGTGAAGCTCCTGATGAAAGGCCCACCAGACGTGGCGGGAAGGGCGGTTTAGGGTTTAGGGTGGGGCGGGGGTGGGGGGGGGGGGTGAGGGGGTGGAGGGCAGGGCGCTTTGGGGTTGAGGGTTTTAGGGTTTCGGGTTTAGGCACGCATCATGAGCATTTAGGGTTTAGGGTTTAGAGTTAAGGGCCCTCTCGCCGAGCATCTGGGTTACTGCCTGCGCTGCCAGCCTCCTGGGCGTAGCCCCCTAATAAGAATACAAAATGTCCAAGAATCTAGAGTCATCAGGAGAATGGGTTCATGGCTAGATTGGCCTGAAAGGTCCTTTAAGAGAGGCCACGAAGTAATGTGCCATTAATCTGCGTCTCGGCTGTGGTCCAGAGGCCCCCTAAACCCTAAACTACCCTAATGGCAGATGGTAGTTGTGGCAGCTCCCTGCGAGCCCATGCCTCCCAACATTTGCAGAAGGGGTCAATTTATGTCTAGGATTCTACAGGCATCGACCGGACTTCTGGCGGCTTACACAGAAGATTTCCAATAAGCCCACGTCTTTCGGGGAACCCAAATCCCAAATTGTAGCCCAAGGGCTTCCCCTGGGTGGCCTCGGGAAAAGCCAGGCCAAGGTAAGACAGCTCCGGGGCATCGCACAGTAGGCGGGCGGCCTGGGCATCTCAAGGTTTCGTGTTGAAGAGCTTCCGGTCGGAGGGTGCAGGCACGGGGTTTCAAAGATGACTGGGTTTAAGTTGCCATACATGCAAGTTGTGCTTTTGAAGGTGTTCACAGCTTCGACTCCATCTGGCTGGTGTAAATCGGGAGTATCAGCCTTGGAGGCGCCTAGAGGTGTGGGGCAGCCGACGGTAAAGCGGTAGAGCTTTGCACTCCCAGCTTGTAGGTGAAGGCCGGAGGCCCAATTTCCCAGCTCCCCCTCTGTCTCGCTCGGTTACATTGGGCTCGTAGCCTCCCACCCCGTCTCCCCCTCTTTGAAACTTGCACTCGGGGTTTCGAATGCTTTTGCCTCCAAGACCTGTTTTGTCCTGCTCGGACAGCTGTATGCCGGACTCCCGGCGATGCCCGGTGAGCATCATCGACCCTCTCTTTCTCAAATTATTCCACTTGTGTCCTCATGTGTCCGTGTTTTGGTTGTTTGGGTTGCGGCAACGGTTGGTCACCGCGCTGCCTAATTTGGCTGCTGCATTGAGCTCAAGACGTCTGCGAGGTTGAAGACTTTCGCCCTAGGGGAATGAAGAAAAGGTACCAGCTACGAGTCCTAAGTAGAAGACGTTAAGTGTTGGGTCACACGGACTCGGCTACTATGCAGAATGTGAAATGGGGTATGATTCGGTATGATTCACGAGAGGCCTTGGGGCCCCCAGGAGGTGAGAAAGGCGTGAAAGCCATGGAAATACAATGTTTGCACGGGTTTCAAAGTCGTTGTTTGGGGTTCTCTCCCGGCCGGAGGGCAACACAGGTCGGGGCACGACGCACGGGCTCATCATCCGCATCAGGACGGCCAGGGCCAACCCGCGCAGCAAGGCCAAAAATCTCCAAGACTTCTCCAAGCATCCCACGTTCGTGCACATCTCACTTTAGCCCCTCAGCGCAAAATAAGACTTCTGCACCCTAATGCCCTAAACCCTGAACTGCAAGGCGTCAAACTCTCATGTCTGACAGGCATCAACTTGATGTCAAGCTTTCGGGCGGCACAAGTCGCCTGGAAGAATGCTGAGCCCAGCATGGCCAGGATCACCAGGAGCAACAGGGGGCAAGTCATGAAACCTGGGTCAGAGTCTGAGTGGCTCAAGCACTTTAGGGTTTGCAGGGCATTCCGAATGCACGGCCCTTCAGGCGCAGAATCAAGGCGCCAAGCGGCCTGCGCGCGAGCCTGTTAACTTGAAGATGGTGGAGCCACACCAGCCCAGATCGCGCACGAGGCTAAACCTCACCAAGCCCAGGGCTTGGGCTGTGCTGGCTTGGGCTCGGGGTTCAGATTTTTGCCGGTGAGGGTCTTCTCTGTAGGCTGAGGTCTGAGGGTTGCCTGAAGAAGGCGGGCAGAATTTTTTTGGGGTCACAAGCCAAGGGGCTTCACCTCACCCTGGCATGCATCCGCCTCCGCTGCCTGCGCTCCCTGCAGAATCTGTGCCACGTTTCCAGAAGCCCGGCCTCTGCGGGTTCGGTGTATTCCTATCCTAACTCCGTTTTAAGATGGAGAGTCAAGCTAAAGGGCAGTCGTAGCCACGCACAGGGTCCAGAACTCTGGAGCTTGTACTGAGCTTGTGCTGTACTTCAAAAACTACCTGCCGAGTGCCCATTGCCAGCTGAAGCACCATTTAAGACCAGCGCGCTGAAGGGAATCATCCGCATGTCGCCACGCAGGAGGTGCTCCTGACGCCCCACAGAGATGTAGCCCATACTGTAAAATTGCTCCACTCATGTAGGATGACATGAATTCTATGTCAACGACGCACAGACTCGATAAGGCATCGAGTCTTGCTTCTGTGGGCATAGGACTAAGGATGAATGATCTGAAACGTTGCCAACCCGGGGCTCCTCCGCCAACGGCACGGGGCTCGCGGCACCCGCAGCTGCCGAATCTGCGCAGTCTGCCCCATCGGCATCCATGTCCTTGACAGATCGCTGGCCGGAGGTGCTGCGCGGCAGCTGGAACCTGCACGGCTTCGAAAATAGCCCTTTCAACCCACCCCAAAACCCTTGAATGCCGGAGTCTTTGCCCGTTTCATATTCGGATTTTGTTTGCAACAGCAGAGCCTAGGGCTTAGAGCTTAGGATTTAGCAGCAGATAACTCCACATGAAGGACCAGGGATCTTCTCCGCAACGTGGGTCGGGGGTTTGGTCGACGTGCGCGAGTTTGTGGCTCAGGAAGCTAGCATCTGTAGTAGTCTCTTGGGCTTGTCGAAAGAAAGTCTAGAGAAGCTGACACATGCCCTTCAAGGAGAGACCAGGAGCAGGCGGAGGAGTTTTGGCATCTGGTACACGCCCTCCATCTTGGCGACCGCAGTGTCCGCTTCGCGGGCCTGCGCTGATATCCCAAACTCTAGATCGCAAGGCCTGTCCCTCAGCATGCTTGAGAAAATGAGCGCAGATAACGCGTTTCAAATAAGTGCTTCCAATTTCCGGATCGGCTATTGATCCTTAACATGGCGACTCTGTCAAGAGCAGCCATCTGAAGCCTTGGCGGGGAGCTATGACTCCCAAGCCGACTCACATCTTTACTCTCTACAAGCCGGCCACCGCAAACTTCAATAGTCTGCCTTCTGAAGCTCGCTCACGATGCTCAGAGTCGGTCCGAGGAACAAAGCCACCACCAAGCCACACACCACGTAAAGCCTCAGAGCAAGGGCCCTTCCGAACTCCTAATCCTGAATGTAGTTGGAATGCGGCGAGGGTTTGGCTGCGGCAAATCTTGCATTTTTTTGCGTTTTGCCTCATTAATTGCGACGGTTCCGCCTTTTTTCTTGCACATGATGACCTTGGACTGTATTTTACACTTCTGCAATTGTTGGCTTTCTCATTTCTCTAATCTATGTGTCCGTTTCCCTGGGTTTTGTACATTTCGCAGCTTCATTTTCGCTTTCGGATTGGCTTTTGGCATGTTGTTTTTCTGTGATGTTTCGTGTTCTTTTCGCGTTTCGACTTTGTGTTTGTTTTTTCTTTTTTTGTTGGGGCGGTGGGGGTGGGGGGGGGTGGGGGGGCGCGAAAAAGGGGGAGGGGGGCCGGGGCGCGAAAAAGGGGGGGGGGGGGGGGGGGGGGGGCAAGAGGTTCCGCAAGCCCCCAATACAGCAGTGCAAGCCCCGAATATCCATCCTTAACATGCACCATAACCCATGGCCAAATCCGTGCCACATACCATTTTGTTTCCAGAGATAGTCCTGTCTGTCTTGGCCTCAGACTTTCAATGTTTCGCTTCGTGTTCATTGCAAGCAATTTTTTGGCCCGAAGATTAACCCAAAGCAAAGAATTGCCCCAAAACCTCTAGCGTTCTCTGCTCAGAGCATGCGTGGCCAGGAACACAGAAACACACAGATTTGGAGAGTCTTTACTGGTAAAATGCCCTCAGGTGTCATGATGAAAGCGCTGCCAGCCCAGCTCAATGAAAATGGAGAAAAGAAGTCCGTGCAAAGCCTCCAATTCCCATTACATTTCGGGCACACTGGATTTGTCAGTGTTCCGCCTCTTGGATTAGTTTGGGGGAGCTCCCCTGCTGAAGCAAACGCAACGAAAGTCAAGATAAACACACCCAAGCATGGTGAGTCCCACGGTTGCCGAAATCCCCCGAGGCCTTGGGCCGTAGGCAAGGCACTTACGCGCTTCGGGTCCGCAACAAACGGTCGCGTTTGGCATAGATGAGTGGCCCAAAATGTAGAAGGGTTGCCCTCGCCTGCTGCCCTTCCCCTTTCCTGCTCCAAAATGTTCTGCACTGCAGGGGGTGCAGGCAGGTGGGGATTGGGGAAGCTTTGGGGTTCTGAGGGTGGTCCTCGGCCCCATATGGAGCCAACGGCCAGCGGGCTCCAGGGAGGTTTGCAGGTTAAAAGGTTGAGGGGTTCAGGGTTCAGGCGTTTAGGCGGGTTTCGGTGAAACAGAGCGGTGGCGCTGGCCAAGGCGAAAGGCGGGCCGCGTACCGTTGAAATTGCCTGCTCTGAATGCTCGGTACACCTATGCAGCAGTGTCAAAGTTGCTTTCAAGTTGCTCATAGCTGGCAAGCCCAAGCGCGACACACAGCGCCAAGACAACCATGCCCAAGCCCGTCACCGCATCGTAAGAGTCAATTCTGCCATGGCAGTGGAGATGTTCCAACCCCTCCCCCCCTCAGCAGCCTTAGAGAAGTCACGACCACAGCACAACTAAATTAGCTCTCGCAACTGCAGACTACTCTCATCGACTGAGGCTTGCATCTCGGGGGGAGTTTCCAGAGAGATGCCATTTCGCTTCCAACATGAAACCTACAACGTTGATTTCTACAACGGTATGAGAAGTCCCCAATGTCACACCAAAGCACAGACCCTGAATCCCTACTTGAAGGTTCACAAGTAGCAGGGCCATAAATACCATAACTACGGATAACAATATAATAACTATAGCTCATTATTAGCGTACTTAAAACCCAATTAACAGACCCCTGTACCTCCAAGTGCAACACCAAGCCCACACCCGAGCGGCTGCGCTTCAATGCATCCACAGCCCTGTGGCTCAATTATAGCAGCCTCGACCATTGCTTTTCATGCTTGTTTATCCTTCGGATCGCCAAAGGCGACTTTTTTTGACCACGTGAATCTGCCGTCGCGGCATGCGACAAAAGCATCAAAAGTCCCAAACTGACATCAAATGGGATCAGACGTCTGCTCATTATGTCAGCAAACATGGCGTCACAGCATCCGGCGTCGAGACAACTGGGAAACACATTGAAGACATGTTTTAAGAGTAGCGCTGCAAGAAATCCAAATGAACCTGACCGACATGCTTTCTTTCAGCAAACAAAGACCCGCAGCGAAAGCTGGTTGGGGAATCGAATTTATGTTTATCCCTCACTGCGCAAACCTCACACTCACACCAATTACCACACCACGCCCAATTATCCCTAAAGAAATGGCCACACTAAATCTGAATTTCGATGCCTGGCAGCTCCGGTGAGGCAGCAGCCGTGCATGAGAGCTGCATGCACCAGCTGCCGTTGGCACATGGAATGCAAGCTCCTGGCATCGAGGATTCTGGATATGGGCTTAGGGAGAACCCTGGAGGTTCCAATTCAAGTTTAAGCTTCATCGACAATTTCGCGCTGGAACGTTGATGATACAAGTCGTGACCCTGGAAGGTGTATTCGCGGTTGAGCCTTGGATCTGGCAGTCCCATGTGAATCTCGTTGCTTGTCGTGGATGTGCTCCCGATTTTATGCATCTACCGTCGCGCTTGGGAGAGCCGCATGAGCTCGTGTTCTTGTAGGCTGCTTCGCTGCTCCCATGCTCGAGTTCTTGAACTCCTGCACCCGCTGCTACGATTGCACTGTAGGCTGTTCCGGTCATAGTGAGTTGTGGGGCTTGGGGCGCGTCCTACCACACTTATTTGAGGCGCTGACTTGTTCCCGCCTCAAGATGCCGAAGAGACCGAAGGCCAGGGGCCACAGCGCCACGAAGCACCTGTGCCGGGTCTTGGAGACTTGGAAATGCCTTCGAATCAATCGGAGTGTGAATCTCAAAGCTGGAATCTCACAAATTGTGAGCCGCTTGAACGGTTGCCACGTGCAGTCAGACCTCAACTCTCGAAAGGCAACCCCACGCTGCGGGCGGCTCACATAACTTTCATGCCGGCATCCTTCTTGATTCGCTCAAGGATGGTCCACTGGAGCGACATCATGAGCCTCGGCTGGAACTGCGCAAAGAAGCCCGCATGGTTATATTCAAGCACCCAAAGCTTCTTTCTAGCATGTTCAAGTGACGTGCACGGACCAAAGTCGAATTACACGCCATCGACTCGGCCATCTGCTCTGTCTTGACTCACATTGGGCTTTAACTGTCGATGAGCTCGGCCGAAGGTATATGAAGGTCACATCGGCTGCTTGCCGCCACGGTGCGTAGTCAATCTCAGCACTTGCATCGCACCATCCTTCATGTCCTTCGTCACATGGGGAATGATAATAGCCTCCTCGGTCTGACCGCCTCCACGTAGCTCCTGACCCAACCTCTGCTTTGGTCACATTGAGGTGTCGCGTTCGGGCACAGAGTGGAAGGCTAACTCTCCCTGACAAGCGGCTGCAACACCCAGAGGATGATGCGGGCGGCGTGGAGCAGCAGAACTCCCAGCAGGGAGGCGAACAGCACAAAGGAGCCGGCAAGCCAGTCCAGGAGCCCAGCTGGACAAGAACTTTGCATCTTCAATAGCCTCATCTCCTAAGTGCAGGGTGGGGTTCCAAGGCACTAAGGGACTACGGGAACGCCCACAGAAAGCTCCAGGTACAGATAGCCAAGGCTCCGCAGCTGCGCCCAGCCCTGCCAGGGGCTTGCGCAGCAACTCCAGGCTCCAGCCTACAGTCTCGACGGTCATGCGGCAGAGACAAGATTGCCCTGCGCAGACCAGGGCATCCTTCCCTTGGTTGTGCGCCAACATCACTGGGTCCAGATAGACGAAGATGCTTGACTTGTTGACGGGATCGATCGGGTCGACCCATGGGACCACCGCCTCCACCGGTTGGACTAGTACTCCATGTGACTCCCGACAGCTGTCAAGGGAGCTTCCCACCAGTGCTTCGTACTTCGCGTTTTGAGGCATGAAGAATCCCGCAGGTGCGGCAACTGCAAACTGACCGAGGCCCCGGGCACGGCAAACACGGCCACCGCATGCTGCATCCTAAGCCAGCAGAGCTCTCATATCTAGTCGCAAGCAAGGGCATCGGGAAGTGGAGTCCTTCCATAGGACAACAGCATCACAGCATGGTCGAACAAGCGACATAAGCAAATCTGAATTCGGTGGGCAGTTCTCAAGCAAACAGCCTTGGAAACGCTTTTTGGCAGATCCCCTGCCAAGCATCTGATGGGGCGGGCTTTGAAGGTGAGTCCTGCTGCAGTCCAGGGTGCGGTGCCTTGGCGTGTGAAGTAACATGGAGTGGAACCCTAGCCCACTATCAGGTCTTCAGGCGAGGTGCTGGTCGGAAGGCGAGCGTCTGGCCAATCCAGGCAAGCTCAAGAATCACTCGGCGCATTGGCCGAAAGGATGAAGTTTGCAGGCGGGGGCGATTGGGTCTGAGCCCACAGACAGGCGGATGAGAACTCTCAAATTTAGCCGCTCCCACATTACTCAACCTGCAATGACCTCGGAAAGATGAGGCATGGACTTGGCCCGATCCATACAGCCGTCAGATCAGAAACAAGCCCAAAACCCTAACCCCCGACTGCTGCTCCCAGGGAACCCTAAATTATATACCCTGCGCAGGAGGGATTTCGCGAACTTAAAGATCCTTCCGCCAAATCCGAACAATCAGCTTGTACGGTCAGCTAGTAAGGGGTCACTGCGGGGGCACGCGCCCGTGTCCGGACAGGCTGCTGCGGGCAGGGCGGGTTCAGGATTTGGGGGGGGCGGGGGGGGTGGCACCCTTTCGTGGATTGAGAGGTGCTTTTGGGGGTTTTCGAAAATCCGGGACCTCTAATGTAGACCCCAAATAGTAGGATTCCATTATAATAAGGACCCTATTAAGGTACCCCGAATTTCGGAAACCCGCATGTGGAAACGTGCGGAATGATGTGAGAAGTTCACACCTGGACTCGGGGCCTGCGGGCTTGCGGTTTTGATGGCTTGAATCGCCGACACCAGTCCGATCAGTCGTCGCCGCTTTGTGTAGCACAGAGCGGCGGTTTCCTCTATGTACAATGGAGGGCCTCCCATGTCGAAGCGCATCTCTTCACGACCTTGCGCACAAGAACCTCGCCGTTCTTCGAATTTTGAACCCCTCCAAGCTCTGCCAGCCACCACCGTGCCACCCGCTGTCACCGGCTGTCACCGGCTCAGTCCGACTTGGGCTCCTGGCGCAGAGGGAGCCACCCAAGGCTGGGGGGTGTGGTTTAGTAGTTTAGTAGCCCTAAACCCTCAACCCTTAGCCTAAACCCTAAACCCTAAACTAACCCCGAAACCTTAACGGGAGGTCCTCCTCGGAGTTCGCCGGCAGCCTCAGCATGGTTCGGGAGGTTTTTGTTGCAGTTTGGGCGGGGCAGGGGGGGTGGTGTCAGCTTTTGAAGCGTTTGGAAGGGAACCCTAAACCCTAAACCCTAAACCCTAAACCCTAAACCCTAAACCCTAAACCCTAAACCAAGGGTTAGGGCCCTATGGCCGAGAGAGCCGTGGCACGGCCGAAGCAAGGAGTCCAAGAGTCTAGTCGGTGTTTTTCAGCACGTGCGGCGTTCTTCTGAGAAAACCCAAGCCGGCGAACAGGTCTACTACTATTTGCCGAAGAACCCCAAAAGAATTTTAAAAAATTGGAAAAAACAATAATCCCTATATTACCCTTATAAGGAAGAACTTCTTTGTTTCTCTTTTTTGGGGGGGTTCTTAAGCAATGCGGTCTAGCGCAGAAGGCAAAGCCCCATGCCTCGCTAATTGACCCGCCGAGACCTGATTGTACGTTGAGATGCCGGCGCCTGGCCCAAAGGTGTCTCACCGTCAGATTCGCCACCTCCGCAGGCTTTGAGGATGGGTTCGGCTCTCAAGCGCACCGAGCATATGGGGGTTACCGAAGTTAGGGGGTACCTTCTTGGGGTCCTGAGTATGAGGGAATCCCATTATTTGGGGGTCCATAATGAGGGCTCCCTTATTTTCGTAGACCCCCATATGACAAACCTTGCACCGGTCATGTGAACTTGCTGGACGCGTGCACGCGGCAAGGCCGGTAAGGCGTGCAGATGAGCGCGTAAAGTGTTTGGTACTACTGCCTACCTGTGGCTGGCAACTGTCCTTCTTTGAGAAAGCCCATTGCACCTCCGTCCTGGCTTTCAGGGGCCTCACTGCCATCACTGCCCTCCTCCTGACCATGCTAAAGATTCTTTTGACAACCCGGCATCCCATCCCTAGAGCCCGAAAACCCTTCACATTCAATACAACATAATACGAACCCTCACACCTGTCCTGATCAGAGCCTTCCGCTCTGTCCTCATCCTCCTCCTCCTCTGACTCCTTCCAGCAAGGGACAAGGGAGCCTTTCCCAGTTGCGGAGCCCGATTCCACGCAGTCGTCATGCGCTGGTTGAGGGGTCGTAGTTCCGGGTGCTTTACCCAACGCACCAAGCTTCCCAAAGCTTCCCTTAACTCGGTTTCCCTCGCAGCCTCTCCAGAACCGAGCATGATCTTTGGAATGTGCAAGATTTACATGCGCCGTTAGACCTCTACAGCCCCCGCCCTCGCTGCACCAGTGGAGAGTTCGCCTCGTTTTCGTCCCAGGGAGCGCTGCCATCGTCGGACCTGTCCTCGCCGTTGGCACCAAAGCTAACGGCCTGAGGCAGCATGCTCCCAAACAAACTCAACATGACTCTCATTTGCAGCACTGCAGCTTGCTCCCTGCAGCTTCTGTATAGAAAACATCTCACAGGCGACAGCAGGCTGTGTCTACTACGCCGGCACGGAGCAAGATGCAAGCAGCGATGGGGTGTGATCGGTTGGAATGCCCGTCGATGAAGATGCGACATCAAGATGCACAGATGTCCTCGCACACCTGAGCCAACCCTTCTCATCAACTCCAAAATATCCTCCGACCCCCCTTCACCCGTGCCCGTGTGAGAGCCCTGCCTTGCCCACGGCAGAGTCCTGGTGGAGGAGTGCCGTCCGGGACTTTAGGGTTTAGGGCTTAGGGCTTAGGGCTTAGGGCTTAGGGTTTAGGGTTTAGGGTTTAGGGTTTAGGCTTTAGGGTTTAGGGTTTAGGGTTTATACAGGGTTGTTTAGGTAGCACTTTGAGGTACTGAGGGCAATGACCACAGCAGCCTTTGTGAGAGTTGGAGAGTACTTCAGAAGCCCACGGGACGCGGCAGCTTGCTGTCTCGCCCGAAATCTTCCCACAACCACGAGGCGCAAGTTCCCTTCTCCAACAAATCTCCATATCCCCCACCCAAAACCACCAAAAAAAAATGAACTTCCCCGCCCCCCCCCCCCCTTAAAAAAGAAAAAAAAGCAAAAACAACAAACAAGTAACAAAATCCAGCATCCCATGGCTCCCCACATCATGCCATCGTGTGTCATCGCATCGTGTCCTGCGCTTCGAGGACGGTGCCTTGGGCCTGGCACAGCACTGGGGAGTCCAGGGTGTTGAGGGGTTTAGGGTTTAGGGTTTAGGGTTTAGGGTTTAGGGTTTAGGGTTTAGTGTTTAGTGTTTAGGGTTTAGGGTTTTGGGTTTTGGGTTTTGGGTTTAGGGTTTAGGGTTTAGGGTTTAGGGTTTAGGGTTTAGGGTTTATTATTTTGGCTTGCATGCCTTCGTCCAGGGATCAGATGAATTAGTCAAGGAGTTCGAGTATCCCCAAAGTGGAATGAATCGGTGAACAGGTATAAGCCCTTCTATTTCTTTAGTTTGTGTGTCGTGCAGGCAGTGATGTTATCAAACAGAATACACGAAGCTTCCTCTCAACTCCCGAATCCGAAGCCTACCAGGCCTACCACACTTCAACAGCCACCAGGTCCCTTCACCCCAGGCACCTCATGCGAGAAGGAGCCAGCGGCCTCAGCAGGTTTCCAAGCATCGCAAGTACTTGGGATTGGAGTTCAGGGTAGGTACCATGTGGTACCATCATCCACCCGGTGTGCAAGCCTTACTTATTTTGTGTTTGCCTCTCTCCGGATTCATGTTTGCAACTTGAGAGCAGGGAAAATGACAGCTAGGGTCTACAAGGAGGCTCGCGCCCGGTGCCTTTCGTCAGGCAGCGCTGTCGTCACTCGTGGAGACGCAGGTGTTGAGGGTTTTTTCGGGTGTCGGGTTTCGGGTTTGGGGCAAGTTTATGCAGGCCCTTACAGTAGGTGGGGGGGTTCCAAGTCGAGGGGAGGGCGGGGGAGCATGCGGGGGTTGAAGGCCCCGGGGAGGTTCAAGGTCAGGAGGGGGCGCAGGCTCTCGTGGTTAAGTGGATCTGCTCACAGAAAACGCTCCAGCAACAGTGTGTACCCGACGCCCCGACAACCAAATCAGCAATGAAAGGAACCTGGAAGACAACGACCAAACGGAATAATTTGGCAATTTTGGTCGCGAACACTGCAGTATTCAACAGCATCCTCGAAGGCAGCGTAGGAAGCCAAGAAGCAAGCCCACAAAGAATTCCTCCGAAGCCTTTGTCACTTGGCTAAGCTCCGAACGGCCCGGGTCCTTTCCGTCTTCAGCATGGTGTAGAACCTGGGTTCGGGGGATTTGGGGCTTGATGCGTTGGCATGCTGGGTTGGATCGGCTCAAGGTTCAGGATTGTTCCTCCTTAAGTGGCCAGAACAGACCACACCTCAAGTGACCCCAGGGCTTAGGGTTTCGGGTTTCGGGTTTGGGGTTTAGGGTTTAGGGTTTAGGCTTTAGGGTTTAGGGTTACGGTTTCAACCCGAAGTCCTCAACTGTTACACTGCAAACCCTCAACGCCGAACGTGGTAACCACAGACACCACCTACTCCCCCTGCAGTGCACGAGGGTCCACACTCACCATAGTCCATCACACCTGGGTCGAGTTCCGGTCATGGCGCGTCAGGGTTCAAGGTTGCTTTGAGTGGTCATTACTCATGGGGCTGTGGGGTCTGAGGCTTGGGGTCAGCGATGTGTTCACGGAGGGTTCTGTGCACGCGGTTTGTTCCTGAAAAACCCTGCGTTTGGGAGGGTTCTGTAGATGCGGTCTTTGTGTAACACTTTGTGCGCTGTCAGCCAAGGGTCATTGAGACATCCAAAACCAGCTACAAATCATTCCCTAAACCCTAAACCCTTGCCTTGGGAGTCGGGGCAGGTCTTGGCGCGTGGTCTTTCGGTCTTTCGGCGCGCTGCAAGGATCTTCCAGGTTTAGAGTTTAGGGTTTAGGGTTTAGGGTTTAGGGCTTAGGGTTTAGGGTTTAGGGTTTAGGGTTTCGGGTTTCGGGTTTCGGGTTTAGGATACTTGTCTGCCCGCCCCAAAGCGATTTTGCAACCCGCTGCTCGGACCGTAAGAAAAGAGGCCGGTTTTCGAGGGCCGATCACGCAAATGTGCCCCACCACCCAAAATCGAAACTACATAAACCTAACAACACAGAGTGGACCACAAGTACTTCATGCTTCCTGCTGCTTACAAGGCTTCCGCTTGATTAGTTCGTGCTTTCTTTGGTGATGCTGTTGTTTGGATGCGTGTGCGTACTTGTGGTTGTTATGTTAGTTGATGTCTTTGAGGTTTGTTGGGACGGGCTGTGCATGCAGGTTTGTTGTTTTTTGTTGTTGTTGTTTGCGTATAGCTTGTGAGAAGACTGCGGGGGATGCAAGAAAGAACTACTACCAAGAAGTGTTGCTTATATATCAAGGGAAAGCCTGGAATGCAGCTAGGCTGAGTCTTTCGCAAGGGAAGATGGATAAACCTATTTCATGAGGTCTGGGCTGTTCTGCATCTTAGGCTTTGAACTGGCAGGTTCAGTGTCACCACCCATGACAAGGGCATCGGAATTGAGTCTCGGCCTTTTGTCCATCACCCACAGCCTAAGCCCTCAGGATTTGGTGTCTGCGACATGCCCATGTGCGGTGGGCCGGACTCGGCATGAAGACCCTAAACCCTAAACCCTAAACCCTAAACCCTAAACCCTACACCCTAAACCCTAAACCCTAAACCCTAAAGAGGCTACTTCCAGCGACCCCAGCGCTGCTCTTCGACACCCGTCTTCGAGATTCGGAGCTGCATCGTGAGGTCCCGCGCGAGCTCGATGTCGCCCAGCTCCTTCGCTTCCTGAATGGCTTGCTCCAGAAGAGAATTCTCCGGAATCAGGCCGAACTTCTCCGATGCCTGGACCTGCCAGGGCTCTGATTTCGGGAGCGGCTTCGGCAGTTTTCGGAGCAAGGGTTCGTGGACAAAGGACAAGCAAGCCATCAAAAACCACACAAGCCCCCAGTGGGGCTCAAGGATCACAGACTGACCACAGGCTGACCCCTAAACCCTAAACCCTAAACCCTAAACCCTAAACCCTAAACCCTAAACCCTAAACCCTAAACCCTAAACCTGACCACAGGGACCTGATTGATGGGAGACTCGAGGTCGCAGGACTTCAGCGCTGCCAGCGAGGGCTCGTAGCCAGCACGCTGCATCTTGAAAAGCAGTTCCTGGGCAGCCTCCAGCTCAAACCTTGCACAGGGAGATAAGTGCTTAGGGTTTAGGGTTAAGGGTTTAGGGTTTCGGGTTTCGGGTTTAGGGTTTCGGGTTTAGGGTTTAGGGTTTAGGGTCTAGGGTGCAATCAAATAATTTTCTTCTTTCGCCACCTAGAACATGGAGACCGAACAAAACCTAAAACCCGTATAGATTTATAACCCAGCAACCCAGCAGTGTAGGCGGCAATGGCGGCTTCGTAGAGGGCGGGGCTCAAGACAAGCCCCCGGAAGCGGAGCTGCTCGATGACGTTGAAGACCTCCTGCGGTTTAGGGGGGCCGCGGGGGCCCTGCTTCTGAGGCGACTGTTTATGCTGCTCAGATAGGGTTTGTAAAAGCATGTTGCCAAGCATGTTGTAGATCTTAAAGAGCCTTTCGCACTACTTGGTCTTCTGCACATGATGCGGTCCACCCAACGGCTATCTTGAGGGAGAAGCACATATTTCACTTCCCCCCCCCCCTCCCCTTTGTGGCTTGGGGCCATGTGAGGAACTCAGGAGGAATATCGAGGAATATCAAAAGGAGTCCTGAGAGCCGCCCATCGATCAGGAACACGAACATGCGAGAATTATAGCAGTGAGAGTGTGAGGGGTAATGATATGCGATTTAAGAATGTGAAGAACATTCAACTGCTTCGGAAAACTGACTTCCGTTTTCCGAGTGATAAGAATATTCAAAATGACCAAGCAAAGCATCGGAGAATTTTCGGAGAGCGTGAAGGCAACTGCTCAATGACGAAGCGAAGAATACTGCAAACGTACACAAGAAGCAGGGGACCTTACGAAGATCGGGCACCTATCACGGAATAGTGAGTGCAGCTGTTCATACCCTACATGCATCTGCAACTGCCATGTGATGCATGTGTTTACAGGATGAAACCACAGCTTTCTGGCCTGGTTTCTGGCGTCCCCTTGCAGTTTGTCTGCTGCAAACCCTGAACCCCCAAAGCTTTGAGCACCAGAACTTCCCCTAAGCCCTAACCCCTAAACCCTAAAACTTAAACCCCAAACCCTAAACCCTAAACCCTAAATCCCTGCCGGCGGCACAAACAGCCCCTCCGCTTGCCTGGCTCTTCTCGCCCGCTGTGCAGGCCCGAAGCGCTGCAAGGCCTGCTGCCTCTTGGAATATTATAGCATAATATGGCATAGTATGCTATTACATGATATTTATATGGTTATGTATGTAAAAAGGCCTCAAAAAACCACATCTGCTCCCTGGGTCTGCCACCTCTTTCCTTTTGGGGGAGCCTGCCCCTCTGACATGTAGAACATACAGCTGGCGGCTGCGACTGCACTGGGCGCTGTGTGAGGGCAGTACCTTCATGGCCCTGTGGATTTAAGAAGGGTTTTAGGGTTTAGGGTTTAGGGTTTAGGGTTTAGGGTTTAGGGTTAGGGTTTAGGGTTTAGGGTTTAGGGTTCTGGGCTGAGCGATCACACCAGCTGCACAAACGACCCCAACCCGAGCCCAAGCCCGAGCCCATCAAAGGCACTCTTGGTTACACTGAAGTTACCACCCTAAACCTTATATAAACCCTAAACCGTAAACCCTAGACCCTAAACCGAAACCCTAAACCCTAACCCCTAGCCCCTAGACCCTGACCCTAAACCCCAAAAAGCCTCCAGCAAGTCCAGGGATCGACCCTTTGGTGCCAGGGATCCTTTGGCCTAGGTTCCCGTTGGCGCTGAGTAGGCGAAAGGGGCGTTTGGTTTTACAGGATTTTAAGGATTTAGGGTTTAGGGTTTTAGGGTTTGTGGGCTGAGGTTTAGGGCATCTAGGGCTGTAGGGCGTTTAGGGCTAAGGGCGTCTAGGGTTTGAAGCTTTGACGCTTCACATGACCAGCTGCCTGACCATATGAAGTGGCAACTCAAAAAGCGGTGCAACGGTGTATGGGCTACAAATTGGCAATCTGGGGCCAATTCCAAATTACATTTGTGGCTGCCATGAGAACGCAGCAGAACTCCACACCAAAGCACGTGTCATGTATGTGGGTCCTTGATCTTGAGCTAAGTACTGGTAGGGCCTTTGAGCAACCCTAAACCCTAAACCCTAAACCCTAAACCAACCCTAAACCCTATACCCTAAACCCTAAACCCTAAACCCTAAACCCTAAGCGAGGAGCGAGGGCTGGAGATCTTCTCGGAGAAAACCCAGACTCATGGACGCGGTGCGGCTACAGTTTCATGAGCACTATTCATCTAAAACCTGGGCCGCGCAAACTCTTAAGAGCCACCTGAAAGCCACGGCTTCCTAGGTCCACCAGAAGGACCAAGGACCAAAGATCCTCCAGGTCTGGCCCTGAAAGCCCTGAAAGCCCTCCCTCCTGAAAGCAGAGTCTCCCGGAGATCCTCGAAGATCTCCAGCGCCCGCGCCCAGGAGGCCTGGTCCACGAAGGCACTCATGGCTGCCACCTCGGTTTCGGGCGCCGGCTCCAGCTGCAGACGGAGGAGGTCGTCGTAGGTCGCCGTGATGACATCGTCCGCGCTTTCGGACTCTCGGATGATGCGCTCGTAGATGCCCTTTCCAGGGCTGTACCCAGCCTCTGTCATCTGCTGAAGCAGCCTCCCGGCTTGCCTGCCGTTTGGCAGGTAGCCCGTGATGCCAGCTTCATACAACATCTTCCTCTGGGCGTCGCTCGCCTCGCCATCCCGAGTGTCCTCCAGACCTGCCAGAACGGCCTCGCAGACCACGCCGCTTGGAGTGAGGCCACCCTGGAGCGCCTGCTCCAGTACCTGCACTCCCTTCATGGCCTCCCTGCAGGTGACATGAGCTTGGGCTGCCCTGTTGTGGCATTCTGCATCCGGCTGCGTCCTGTGCCGGGCCAGCATCTGATCGAAGAGCGTGAGCTGCTTCCGCGCAGTGCCCCGGCGCTTCGTCTCGCTGTCCCCTGGCCGCTGGAGGTGTGTGTGGGCCCGCATGGCCGCGGCGAAGGCTGCGTAAGTCAGGTGACAGCCTGGCTGGGCCTTCATGTCATCGAAGGTTTTCAGCATCATGTCGAAGTCGCCCCCCTTCTCATGCGCAGCCATAACGGCGACGTACGCGGCGGGTGTGGGCAGCAACTCCTTCTTCAGCATCTCAGCGAAAAGGGAAAGGCTTCGCTCGCTTTCCGCTGCACCGCAGGCAGCAATCGCACTGCTGTAGGCAGAAGCACTCCTAATGAACCAATGCTATTAGACAGCAGTGACCTGCGGCCAAGCCGCTCTGAACCCTAGCCTGAAAGTGAATAGAAAACACGGAAGAAGAACTTAAAACATTGCAAGAATGTCATAAACAAACCGTTTCAAGGCTCGGCGTAAGGCCTGCTTCAATCATGCGATTGATGATGAAGATCGCTCGCTTCCACAGACCACCTGCA